TTGGATCGTAGGCAAACTCTCGATGAAAATCACTTTCCGCCATGATGCAATTGCAGATTTGACCTGCAGCAGCGTCCTTTGACCTAATGGGTCAAGTTGGTTATTAACTAATCGGAATGCTGTGTTGTACTGACGCAATTCTTCGGAAATTCCCTAAGACTTTCCGGTAACGCAATGCGGAAGTGAATAATCGATGTCGAAGTACGATCTGTTGGAATTGATTTCAGCGAATAAACGACATGGTTTTTTTCAAAAAACTAGTAACTAGCCATTTTTGAGAGGTAAACTGAATATGGCATGAAATATTTATCGCATTTTACTTGTATTAACAGGTCATTGTCGAAGTGTAGTTTACGCACGGTTGCCGTGTTCTACGCATTCACAACATGTTCACAGCAGTCGATATCCACGCTGTATCATATAAATTTGTTACACAAGTCCAAGTTTTAAATTAGTTGCATTTTGAAGGGGTGGGCGCTTTGCCGAATGTGACCCCAAATATAAAAATTGCGCAAAAGTGGGGGTGGGCGCTTGCCCGGGCATGGGCGCTAATGCGGTCGAGTACGGTACTTCTAATATAGTAAATACAGTATTCCTTATTTGTATTTCATGCCTCCAATAGTACACAGCTCTTTCTATGCTTCCTTTGATTTGTGTCTGTTGTAACTCAAAAAGTACTGCCGGGTTTATTGTGAAAGTCACATTTCATGAGTGAATCTAGATTTGTGGAGAATTTGCCTTCCCATTAATGTTGTATTGTCAGCATAATGTTTGATATGATTATCTTTGGTATGTGTAGTAACATTCATAATGTAGTACATGGGATTTCAATCAGATCAATCCATGTGTCTTATCTCTGTCAACTAATAACTCTTCTTTCATCTCATTTCAGTTAAACCTTATATAAGAAAAAGAGTGGATTACAGTAAGAAATATACAGATAATAATTTAATAACTGCTATTAGAGCTATGAATGAATATTTATTAAAATCAAGGTATGGAATACTACTATGTGCAAGATAACTATTTAGTCTCTAAATAACTTGATATTACTATTGTCAAGATACTCAGCACCATGCATTTACCTTTCCACAATCAAATGCCAGAATAATGTTGCTATAATGATAAATAATATAAAATGACGTTGGACTCTTTCTTGCAATATATTTAATCAAAGATTCACATCAAATGTTGAAAGTACATTTTCTGACTGAATATTTCCTAGTAGCTGGCAACAATTATTGGTGTTATTTTTTTATTCAAGGTCAAAAGATATTAACTTTACCCAGAATGCAACTACAAATCCAGCACTAACATTCTTTTTCTACAACCCAATGTCAATGTCACTTGGTGATAACACGTCATGTGCTCATTATAGATTCAATGCTAAAAGCAGTGTTGGCAAGATGGCAACTTTTTTATGTCAGCATTCTTGAACCAATTTCTTAAATTTAGATATTCCAGAAATAACACTGTCACTAATATGTTTTTCATGTCTAGTGATTTGGAAGACTTGCGTAAAACAGCACGTAGAAGTCCATATCTAGAAGAAGATAAACCCTCAATGATGATGTATCTAAGATCTGATGTGCATGCAAGGTGAGTTACACATCGCCCTCTAGTGACAGCATTTCAGTTCTTACACAGCCATGACATTTGATTGAAAATTCAAATTAATCAAGATCCAATTTTTTTCAAGAAAATTACAAGACTGTCAGTATAAACTGAATTTATCAAAACTACCATTTTGATTAGTAATCTTGTTCAATGGCTTTTAAATGAAAACAAGTTTATGGGTGCAAAAGACTACTTCATACCATGTCCCAGGTTATTAGTAAAAAACTGTACTCACTCACACTGCTCACTGTTGAAAACTCAGAACACACTGCTGTTAATGTAACTTCGTTTGGTCTTGTATGTTCTCAGGGCTATGGAAGTTTGGGGAAGTCAAGAAGCACTTGAAAGAGAAAGAAAGAAAAGGCAACAACAAGAAGATATTTACAAAGAGCGTGAGTATTTATCAATCAACAACATAGTGACTAATTTGCATAATTCATTTAATTTGTTAAAATAGAATAGATTGTTTTGAAAGTTCAAGCATACTATTATTAGTATTATTGTGGCACCTTTCAGCTAAAGCACTGCACTGAATGAGAACACTATTTAGTCCCTGACTTGAACGAGGTCCAAAATCAGGGCCTATTGGGTTCCATGCATTTCACAGACATGCGTTGACATATCACAAAGACCTTGTATGATGGCTTACATGTGTATGCCAATTTTTTACTCCAAGATGCAGGGTGATTTCATTCAGATATGTATCATGCATATTGGGTTACAAGTACACATCACATTTTTATTGAGATTTGAACATAAATGATTGACTGGCAGCCATTTCTATTCATGTCAATGCCAATTTGTCGCAGGGGAGCACACTAAACACCTCTCGATATCTCCAAGGAGCAAAATACAGGCATGTAATGCAATTGTAGTACATAACTCAAAACAAAGGACAGGTGTCTAATACGTTTGTCTAGTACATAACTAATTATACTGTAAACAACAAACAGGCAACATGACAGCAACGTAACACCTACCTACCTGCAAACTTTGAAAAAAAGTCTTTGCATGGTGATGGTTTATTTCCCATCAAGACTCTGGTACCAGTGGTGATAATGCTAATGTATAATGCAGTCAGAAGTGCCGTAGTTGTAGAACACAGACTGCACACTCAATCAAACACACTACCAGTCAATTACAGTGAATATCTGTTGAATGTTTGCAATTTATAGCATTAGAACTACTAGTATCTCGGTGGATTACACCATGGGTCAAGTCAGTATGGGTGAATAAAAGTATAACTGCCAGCCACAGTGAGACAACTTCTGTTGGTAGAGTAGTTAGGCTTGTATATGTGTAGTAATTAGTATAGTGTTTCTAATATGGTTCTGTTGTATTTTTTACAGATAAGTTTCTACTCAAGAAAGCTATAAAAGATTATAATCAATTCTACGGGAATACACAGGTAGAAAACCCTTATCTCCATGGTTATGATAAAGAGTTATTACTGAAGGTACACACATTGTCATATCTGAAATAGCAATGGATTCATCTCTGTTCTATTCAATACAGAGACTGTATTGCCATAGCTGTGCATGTATGCATTGTTTGGTCTAATAGAGCCTGCACAATACAGTTTAATGTACTAGTGAATACTACAAGCCTTCAACTTTACTATATTTGCTTTATTAATAGTGTATGTGTTTATACAAATGCGAAAAGTGTGTCTATATTCAAAATAGATCAATGTAATAATCTGGCATTCAATAAATGCAATTTTTGATTTTATGTGCTTCTATTGGTTCTTACTTCTAATAAAGCAACTACACTACTATTCCCTCCCACCTGCATCCCAAGGTATAATTGTGTTTTTTTTGCCTGTAAATGCACACCTTGAGCTGGTTGCTATGGGCTGGTTGCTATGACTTGCCATATATGCGCATATGCAATGACAATGTTGTATGATTGGCTACAAACCTCTAACACCAGCTCAGTAAGCCAATCAAAGTACACCATACTTGGTTTACTGGATTTTACAAGCAAATATTGATTATTCAAAGTATACCATTGCATAGTTTTGTTTGTGTATGATCTGTAGAAAACCTCACTGACCAATGTAAAGGTTTTGTAAAGTTCATGAGAAACTGAATCCTGAAATTGAATTTATAAGAAATCCTAAAATAAAATAAAGTGGTCTTGAGTGACTAAACACAATAACCAATGCAGACTAGCCTTGGTGATCTAGTATTAGTTACTAAACACAATAACCAATGCAGGCTAGCCTTGGTGATCTAGTATTAGTTACTAAACACAATAACCAATGCAGGCTAGCCTTGGTGATCTAGTATTAGTTACTAAACCAACTTATTATATCCTTTCTCAGTGAGAGGTGTTCTGCATATAATACAAAGTAAGGATGCAAATTTAATGTCTGCTACATTATTTGGAATGTCTTTTTATGTTGAAGTGAAAATGTTGATAAATAGACATGTCAGTAATGATACTAATATCAGTAGATCACAGTTACTACTATATGTGTATGAAACGTGTATTCAATTCTTGCAAAAGAGAATATAATGGCATGGTTAAATTTTTACACTAAAAATGAAATGTAATGTATATTTTTGTATTTGAAGCCAAAGGAACACATGCTGCATGGTTCAGGAAGAGTTGTGCTAACTGCAATAATTATGTAAGGCTTTTATCTTTTCTATGTTTTCTATGTTAAATTTTAATCAATATGAGAAATCTGGAGATACCAATATTTCACTGTCACATGCTGTGGCCATCTATGTGTGAAATCTGGAGATACCAAGATTTCACTGTCACATGCTGTGGTCATCTATGTGTG